TGAGCAGCTTCCTAAGCGAAGATGAGAAATGTCAGGCTCTTGCTAAGACCTACACCTGGTATACTACTCATAGGGTTCAACAAATAGTCAATGGCGATGGAACAGTTGATTGGCCTGAAGCAGCAGTCTTCATAACCCCAGTTATTGATCCCAATCGTAATAAGCTTGCTGGGGCCCACCTGCTGAAAGCAGCAAGAAATGCTGCAATTCATGGTCCCAAACTAGGAGTGCCAAAGGCTGTGAAACCTTTACAGAGTATATGAGATTGTTTTAAAAAAAACACGGAATCCCCAAATGAATTCCTCAAGGATGGTTTTCGCCGGTACACTCACCTTGATCTGGATTTGGAATCAACAGCCAGCTGTGCTAGAGGTGCAGCTCCAAAAGCACCCAGCCATGTGTGACTGCAGCCACTGAACTGCCTGAGTCCTGCAGCTGGTCTGGCGAGACAGCTGTTGCACAGCTACACAAAAGCATTTTGCACATGTCTCTCTGCTGTCTGTCTACTCATTGTCTAAGATACAAGGGTGCTTCTGAGGAGAGATACCTGCTCAATAAAATGCTATGTACAACAACTCTGAGTCAAGTTTCTTTATTAGACAAGGTAGCTCAGGGCCATGCTCCTAGGGAAGGATATTGCAGGAAAAAGGGAGGGACACAAATTCTATTTTCATTGATAATGATGGGAAGGAATGCATGGTTTGCCAATTATGAGCTGTGTGAATGGGATGACTCATGAGGCTGAGGGGGCTATGAAGACACTGGCATGGATACAGGATAGTTCATGGATGTTCATTGGAGATACTACTTATCATTTATGAGCTTATAAGAAAAACAAAAACAAAACAGCTCAACAGCAGCCCATGAAGAAATATTTATGATCCACAGGACAAGACTTTTATTTCACTCTTACAAGCAGCCTGGTTGGGCTTAGGTGTGAGAGACATTTAAATAACTACTGACATACTGCTGAGGTCATAATGAGAGAAGATGTCACATGACCTCTGAGGTCACATGATTGCTGGAGCAACAGTGCTCTAAGTTCTTGACAGTTTGCCCACTTGCTGCTTTCCTGCCTCAACAGCCATTGGGAACAGAGTGAGTTAGAGAGACCTTGGCTTTTCAAAATTACTTACATATGACGATTTTGCTCTACAGCGATTTTGCTGGAACGGATTATCGTCGTCAAGCGGGGCACCACTGTATCATACAAAAATATATACATTATATAGAAAAATCTAAATTCAGACAGGTATTTTGTAATTCTCATTATTAATTATGTAGCTGGTCTTTTTTGGAACCATGTATATAGTGGCAGCCAAGTTTCCCGATGGTCCTTTTTCTTTTTTGGATTCAACCATTCTGTTAGCATATCCATTTCTGCGGTTTCCAGTATTTTCCCTATTAGTTCGTCTATTTGTGGTATTCCCGACTCCTTCCAAATCGTATCCTTCCAGTGTTTCATGGATACTATTCTCGCAGCTGTTATCATATGGATGGCTAAGAATGCTTTTTCAGAATCGAATATATTAGGCAAAATATTTCGTAGAAAAAATTCTGGTATCATTGATATTGGAGTTTCTAATATCTCTTGCAGCATCTGTTTGACTTTGGTCCAGTATTTTTGTGCTTCTTTACACATCCACCACATGTGGTAAAATGTCCCTTATTTTTGCTTACATTTCCAATGTACATTTGAGAATTGAGTACTTATTTTGGCCAGAGACGTGGGAGTCATATACCATCTGTAGAACATTTTATATATATTCTCCTTGAATACTGTAGATTTAGTTATGTTTATATTTATTTTCCAGATTTGTTCCCATTGGTTTAATTCAATATTGTGTCCTACATTTAGTGCCCATTTGATCATGCATGCTTTTACTACTTCATCTTGTGTTTCAAAATCTAGCAAGAAATTATATAGTAAAAATGCATTTTCTTTCCGATTCTAAAAGAGTTCTGTCAAAAGGAGTGTTTTACTTGTTGCTAATCTTTAGTATACTTTGATATTAATTGTGATTGTGCCCACCAATCCATTTCAATGCTTTCAAAGGATGTTTTTCTTGATAAAATCCCTGTTGCTTCTCCTTAGTATACAGTACCTTGATATTAATTGTGATTGCGCCCACCAATCCATTTCAACGCTTTGGTCTACTAGCTCTTGTTGTGTTTTAATAGAACCGTCGATATTTAAAACCTCACTGTATCTTACTATTTTCTTATTTTCTCTCAAATGTGGTAGAGCAAATGCTTCAATTGGCATTACCCACTGTGGTATTTTAATATATTTTAATATACATTTGTTTTTTGACTTTATTCTACGTTGACAAAAGTGCCTTCCTTAGTATATGGTTATTGAATTGTTTGAAGTCTTCTGTTCTATTGTACCATACGAATGCATGTCAGCCCCATTTCAGATCGTATCCTTCTAGTTTCAGGAGTCTCGTTGTAACGGAACCCAAAGCATGACGTCATTCCTGCATGTCAATCAGAGGACAGAGCAGGAGGGGCGGAGTCAGAATGACAGTTGGGACAGTTGGGTGAGCCAGCGTTTGTCCGAAGACAATCTTCTGTGGTCACATGGCCAGTGCGACTTAGACACGGAACACTGTTACCTTCCCACCGAGGTGGTCCCTATTTATCTACTCGCATTTGCATGCTTTCGAACCGCTAGGTTGGCAGGAGCTGGGACAAGCGACAGGCGCTCACTCCGTTGCGTGGATTCGATCTTATGACTGCTTGGTCTTCTGACCCTGCAGCACAGGCTTCTGCAGTTTAGCCCACAGCGCCACCATGTCCGTTTCCATTGTTATCCACTCCTTAATCCATACCAATGCAGAAGTCCTGTAATAGAGAAGCCAATTCAGAAGCCCCATTCCTCCTCTTATTAATCATTTTTTGAAGGGGGTGGCCAGGACGTCTTCACATTTTTTATATTATTCTGCAAGTATCCCATCACTTCCTGGTGACTTCTTCAGTTTTTGTTTTTTAAAAGCCTCTGAAACTTGTTATTATTATTTTTTTTGGACTGATATACCGCCCCATAGCGCTATAAGCACTCTCCGGGCGGTTTACAATTTTAATTATACAGGCCACACATTGCCCCCCCCAGCAAGCTGGGTACTCATTTTACCGACCTCGGAAGGATGGAAGGCTGAGTCAACCTTGAGCCGGCTACCTGGGATTTGAACCCCAGGTCGTGAGCACAGTTT